TAATTTCTGTACTGGATAAGAGTTTGTAAATGATGAACATATCTCATTGGGAGATGTTTGATATTGTTGACAAGTTGAAGCATATAGAATTGTATTTGGTAGAAATTATTCATGTTTTGGTTAATTTCTGTCGAATGCAGTTGAGTTGTATGCTGGTAGTTTTGTTTTTAGTATTTTGTCATTGGTTGTGTATGAGTAGGCTATCTGCTGTAGGATTGTGAATTCATGATAATGACCTTAATGTAACTTATTATGAATGTTTTCAGCATATATTATCGTCATATTGCAGACTCCAGTTGTAGATGGAATTTTGATGTCTAGTATTACATATACATATGCATTCAAAAGAGTAGTTCAGATATGTATAAACAAAAAGCAAATATATTTATAAACAAAAGGCAATCTTTATTAAGAACATCTACTGAAATTAATATATTTATAAACAAAAGGCAAATATAATATTCATACATAAAGCTTAATATTTGAAGTACACATAATGACAATTAATATTCATAGTGCGTTCCCAAAGAATGTTGACAAGGAGGAGGCTGTTGAGAAATTTTTCATCATGGTGCAAGGGGCGGAGGTTGACTAGAGGAGGAGGACGTTGTTGAGAAGTTCTTCATCATGCTGAAAATTTCTGTCATGCATTCCCCAATGATGTCAACTGTTTCTTCTATTCTTGATGCGAACGAGTTGAAATCACTTTGCAATTGATCATGTTGTTCTTGCATTTTCCTCTCAATACGTGAAAAACGCTCCTCTTGAAACTTTTCCACCCACTCAAATCTGCTTACTACTTCGTCTAAAGCATGAGAGGACATATCTTTTACATTTTGAGATGATCCAGGTTCAATACTCATTCTTCTTCTTACATAGACTTGTCCTTCATTAACCCCTTCTGGAACACTAACACCTTCCTGAACCGTTGCATCTCCCTCCATTTCATCCCTAATCACAAACCATTCTCCTGCAATATTCTTTTTAATCAAACCCATTTTAGACAATGTCACATCCCCCAACACATTATTTGTAGAAAACTTAATCTTATTTGCTTCATCATTAGGGGTGATCTGAATATCCAACTTCTGACATACTAATGTAACAAGCATCCTCCAATATATTTCTCCTTTTTCTGCTTGAACCTCTCCCAACTTCTTAATCAATAACTTCGCTGAATTTACTTGCCTCCCTGCTATTGCTGCTTCCATGAACATTAAATCCTTAACCATCACATTTCCATTTGTCTCTTTCCTACTATTAAATGTGTAAGTCAGATATCTGTGAAATACTCTGATAGCAGGATTCTTTAACTTTGTAGATTTACACCTATGTGGATGATAAATCCCTATCCCAGAAATATCCATCCAAGCTTGTTTGGAATCCCACGTTCTAGATACGTTATCTAAACCTTCAAAATCAAATCCTATCCAAGTTGCTAAATCTTGTGGTCTCACTACAAAATTCTGATTCTTTAATCTAAAAAACATTGTATACACTGGAAACTCATCAGTATCTATCTCCACAACTTCCAAACTACCAAAAAACTCATAGATCAAATGCTTATATCCATCACATCTAATACTCACCAACCGGTCCCATTTCAAATTATGAATCCAACCATTCATTTCATCACCTAAACCCAAACTTGTTATAAGTCCTCAATCCAAACTTCTTCCAAGGCAAGTATCTCTTTTTGACACCTCCTCATATTGTTTTTTATGTCGCAAGTCTCAAAATTAGATTACAGATGACGATGTGCCTTCATGAGGAATGATTGTATTTTTTGCTCTCACCATTTTCTGCTTTCTTCTAAAACCTGTATACATAAAAAATTCATCATCATAATTAGTCATAACTGAATTCATCATCATTCCTTACTGTTAGTTTGCAGATAAGACAATATGAAAACTTTGAAACAAGGAACTTATTTAATCAACAGCATCACATGAAAGCTTTCAATAAGTAGAGATCCATTTAGTAGAAAAAAGCACCACTTAAATGATCAGCCCATAACTTAGGCTTAAATAAACAAAGACATCATGACAAAAGATTTGATTGAAAATATAAAAGATGTTTAGTCAATTCTCAATTTTCATATCAGTCAAGAGTTCCTTCAACCTCAGCCCTCTCTATATCTTGTTCTCTTCAATCCTTCATGTGTGAGTTCAGCAAGGATGCAAATGGAAACCATATAATTGCTGCTACTCTTTCCAATCAAATTTACTTAAGAGTTGAAATTTGTAGCGCATGACTGTAATCCAGCTTGAGGGTAATTTAATTTGATTGAGGACAACAAATGCAGTTGTGCTGAATATAACATAGTATTTGAGTGAGAACAACTAATGCGGTTTTGTTGGAGTGAAGAAAAGAGTTCAAAAGGTGCTAGGGTATTTAAAGCGTGAAATTCATTTTTGGCAGTGTTGAAGGTTGACAAGCACTAAGAAAATGCTTTCTGCTTGCCAGCTTTTCGATTATGTTTATATTTAACACAAATCAAGAAAATTATATAATTATACCAAGAAATGAAAGATAAAATCAAAGCCGAAATATATCAAACAACTCTCATGTCTGGTCAAGACCTTTTGAAATGTAAAGACATCCCAAGGAAAGAACCTGCATATATTCAAGAGCCCTTTTTGTAACACAAGTTTTGACACAATTTTCAAGCACTAGAAAATGCATAAAAATGGTTAAGATTGCATCAAAGTGCATAATTTCCAAGATAACATCAATTGTGCAAGTGAAATTGAATCTCAACTGTTTTGAAAGTGTCTTAATCTAGTGGCTAAAAACTTGTATCATAGTTTGTGTCAAAAGTGGTGGCCTTGAATCTATATGTATATACATTAGGTTGAGATATTGTAACTTAATCTATGAAACTATTTGTTAACAACTGATTTCTTTTCAATCCAATGTTGTTGAGAGTTGCTAACTTGGCCTTAAAAACACCAACCTTAAAATTCCTTTTCAACATCATTGAATTTAAATTAATCAATGATTAACAAATGATATCACTAAATCAAACCCAAAATTTAAGTTATATATATATACACACACACACAAACACATTACATATATACACACAACTGCCCTTTCAACATCATTGAATTGAAGTTAAAAAATGTTATCATAAATTAAACCAAAAATAAAAATACCACACACACATGCAATAATGCTCTAATCCAGACTCCCAAAATTCATACAAAATACTGACTTCTCTTTCTGGCTTTAAGAATATCCAACCATCCACAATCACATTCATACGTTCTTCATGCAAGGGTGGTCAATAGCTTCTTTTTCAATGCTGCCTGCAACAATTAAAAGCAGGGAGCATTATATACTTTATGCACTATATATTACCTTAATAATAGAAAAAACTATTTAAAGGAAATGATGAGTAAAGATTCTAAGTAAAGAATTATGTGTAGTTAAATGATTTATGTTACTTTTATTTTACTTCTTTGCGAAAATCCCCATTTATAGAGATTCAGATTTCATAAGGATTTCAATTAGAAAAATTCAATTTGATTTTGTATTCTTTTAGCCATATTGTTTTTACTCTCTTCAGCGAAGATAAATGATTTCAATCAAATATTTGATAAATTTATTGAAATGAAAATGTATTTTCTAAATTAGTGTCATCTCAAACTGTCATTTTTTTATTTTATAGGAAACACGGAGTATATAGAAAATGAGAATAAAATTTTACATGTCAATGGTTAAACTACACATATTTCTCTAGGTAAATTCTTTGAAGCATGATTATCATAAATATCTCAATGCTAAGACAATTTCAAAGCAATACAAGATAATACATTTTCCAAGATGCTAGTGAACAGGGTTGGTGAAACAAGAATATGAGTCCATTCAACCAAAAACTCTGTAGTAAATACAATCTAAGCTTTTTCCAAGCCAAAAACACTCAAAAGAGATAAATTTCTTTGAAGTGGCTTTTAAAAGCAAAATTACAAATCACAATTGCAGGTTGTTATTTGACAACACGTTGGGAGGATTTTGAGGTGAGATAATGTAACAAATCACAATTACAAACTGTGAACACTTCTATTTATCAATCACACAAACTAGTCCCACCAAATTGATTGGATTTCTCTTTATCAACTCAATTCAAGAAATCACAACACAAATAATATTCCACTCCAATTCCATTCAACACAAATTTCAAATCCAACACATTCATCCAACATTTAAAAAAAAAAAATTGAGAAACCAAAGTGACTAATTACCTTACAATAATAATGGCAGATGAGGAACTTGAAGAAGAATCACGGTAGATGAGGATCTTCGATGAAGAAGATGAGCACGGCAGATGAGAACTTTGAAGAAGAAGAAGAGTGCAGATGAGGAATGAAGACGAAGAAGAAGAGCGCAGATGGGGAATGAAGACGAAGAAGAAGAAGCGATTGTGTTTTAATTTTAAAAACTTCCCCCAAATTTGTGATTTAACCCAATATTTTTTTTTTTAATTTTTCTTTTAATTTACAGTACGGACGCCCGTCCAAAAATAAAGGACGGTCATTCATAGGTTATAGACGGTCGCCTATTTCTAATGGACGAGCATCCAAATATAATGAACAGGAGTCCTTTATATGTGCACGCCCGTCCTCAAATAAGGGATGCCCGTCCAAAATTTTGCTTTATTTTTTTTAATTTACATTATGGACTGGCGTCTCTTATTTGAGGACGCCCGTCCAAAATTTAGGGACGGCCGTCCATAAATGATGAACGGGCATCCTAATTTTTTTTTTTTTTTTTTTTAAACCATTAATAATGGACCGGCGTCTATTAACATATGAACGTCCGTCCATTAATTTTGTTTATAAAAATTTTATTATTTAAAGATTGGACGGGTGTCCATTATATGTGGATTTCGGTGTATAATCCCGGTGTCCGTAGCATTATTGATTGCGAATTGTCTATTTGAGGGTATTTTAGCAAACAATTAACATCATCTAATAGTATCAAATATATCCCCTTAATTACACATTGTTTGGTTTGCGCTTCAAATTATCAAATTTCCTGTTCAATGAGTGAGCTAGGGCAGTGATATTGTTTGAGTGTTGAGTAATAACGTTGGTTGTTGATGGATTTTGTGATAGAACAACCTCATATCCATCATAATATGATTCCATTTGTTCAGCCATCACTTGCCAAACCATGCTACCGTCAATTGTGCCACCATTTTTTGCAAAATCGTAGATGTTGGTGTAAATTGTATTCAAGAATGAATCTCTAACACTTATACTGAATCCAGAATCTTTACTTGATTTTCCAAACTCTGCGAAAACTAATGGCTTCTTTAAAATTGTTCTCGAATCTGTCCAGTGACTCGTCATCCACCTTTGCATGAATTCTATATGGACATTATCGCTCTGTCCTGGTAACCTGTTGATTAACACAAGTAAGAATCAAGTTTTAAATTCAAATATCATTACTCAAACACAAACATCGAAAATTCTGGAATGGACAAATCACTTATGCAGATATGCTAATATTAAGTTGGTAAAAGAGATATATATATATATATATATTCGGTGCATTTGCTAAAAAAAGGTTCTCAACTTACCATTGATCAGGATATGCATGTATTGTTGTGAAATCAATTTCCTTAATCTGATTGTTGGTAATAAAATCTGAGCCAAGTTGGAAACCAGGATTAAATTGCTTTCTGTCTTCAATTGAGTCGCCATAGAAACCTTCCAACCCAATCTCCAGCAAGTGTCTGTTGTCAATAGATTTAACATGAGATGCCATCTCTTGAACCCATCCCTGTCCAATTAAACACATATGTCGGTTAAAAAAATACATAACCCCATTTGAGAACCCGGGAGCTTCAAAATTGGAACCCCACCAAAGCCAACAATCTTTGTCATCAGCCATAACAAAACAAAAACTAACATACATTTAAGGTCTTTCCAGAGTAATCAACTTGGCAGCGTGGCTCATTTATCAGTTCCCATGCCATGATCGTTGGGTCATCTTTATAAGCGATTCCAGTCATCGTGTTGATCCTTGTAAGCACTTTCTGTAGCCAGAAAAGAAAAAGGGCATAAATTAATATATCCAAAAAGTAATTTGTGACCATATTAATTAAATTTGTTATAATTTTTATGAAATTAATTTCTTACCGTGACATGGTTCTTGAAATATCTCTTCACAACTTCGTTAGTGTAAAAATCATCATCGCTTTTAATGGATGCACCGGCAGCTCTACCCCAATTCACATACTGTGGTCTTCCTCCAAAGTCATGGTAATTGTTGCTTAGACTCAATATTAACTGGATTCTATAGTTTCTTGCCTCAGAAATCACAAAATCAAGTCCCTACAAATTGTAATAGCTTTTTAGAAATTAATGCACTAAAATTCTTATTTATTCTTCTGATAATACATATAAAAAAGCTCATGATTTAAAATCATAAAAATGTACACGTCCAATAAATAATTGCATGTGTATTAATCGGAGTAGGGACAGACCCAGGATTTAATGTATGGAGACAAGTGTAAAATAAATAAATAAAATATTAGTGGGGAAGAAATATTCTACTTACCTTTTTTTTTTAGATTTTACTCTTTAATTGATTTCTAATGAATAAAGACAATATAAAAAATATTTTTATTAATAAAATACTTATCTTTTTAAATAAAAAAAAAAACCTAATTTGTTTAATAAACAATAAACAAAAAAAGTTGGTTTTACTTTTAGATGGATGGAGTTTTACAAAGTAGATTACATCAAATTAGAAAGGGAAAAATAATAAGGGGGGTCGTCAGCCCCCACTAATCAGAAATATCTGAAGAAAACCTGAAAGAAAAACTCATTGTAAACCCCAGGAGAAATCTGGAGAGCTCGATCACCTCCATCACTGAAAGCCCAAGTTCTACAGACAGTGAGGCCAGCAGCAGCAGCGTCACGAAACACATTGGTGATTTTATACCTTTCATTTGGCCGCGATGCAACGTTCATTAACCAGTAGGAGTTGAATCCATTGAAGAGGAATGGGGAGCCATTGAGGACAAATTGGGTACCTCTAGTTTCAACAAAACTTGAAGGAAAAGGAACCTTTTGACCAGAAACTAATGTTACAAAGAGAAGAATCGCTAGAAAAATGGTTGTTTTTGTAGAGTTTTTCATTGTACTTGAAGGGCTTTGTTCGACGAATGATGAAAGTATTTTGGTGGGTATTTATAGGTTCAAAAGAAGGATGGAAGTGAGAATGCACGTGAATTTGAGAGGAAATTATGGGAAAGAAGATGGGGTTGGTTGAAGATGATGACGAGAGGGAAAAGTCATTTTAGAGAGATTAAAATAAGAGGTTTTGGTTAGTGTTAGTTGAACGAAGAAGAGGAAGTAGTGAAAATTTTTATGAGAGTTTTAACAGAAATTCCTCAAGAGAAGGGTTAAAGTGCTTAAAGAGGTGAGATGATTGGTGCTAGTTAAAATTGGAAATTCCATTAACTGAATTTATTATTATCATTATTATTATTACTTTTACTTTTTAATTGAATAAATTATTGGATTTGAGAGTTTTAATGAATTGCATTTTATGATGTCTTAAAAAATAAATATTATTTTCTACCAAATTCTTGCCATCAGTCTTTTCTTCTTTCTGATCAGTGATCATGTGTGCTAACCTTAACAGGATAAGGTAAAAATGGTAAATGATATACATTTGAGATGCTTGATTTGATGGCAATATTCATACTATCTCTTATTTGTATATATAGTAATCTTTAATGGAATATTTATTGTCATATAAGCAATAATGGGTAGGCCAAGTGGTAAAGATTTGGAGTCAAGGGATTTGCTCTTCTTATGGTCTCAGATTCAAATTACAAGAACGGTTGTTAATATTGTTAGTCACAGACCGTAAGACTTGTCCTGTTTCATAAACCTTGTTCGAGATCGAGAGATTAGTTGAGATGCATGTAAGTTGGCCCGAATATCCCCCAATAAAAAAATAAAAAAAAAAAATTATTGTCATATTTCATTATATCTAAATAAGACGAAAGAAGCTTGAAATCCATGATGATATAATTTTACATAAAATTTCATATAAGTTTTTCTATTACTAAACATCAGTGCATGATCTTGATACCTTATATTTTTTTGTCATTCTCACTCTAGGAAAATGAATAGATATTTATATCATCATATGGGATATGAAAAATCATAATATAATATTTATGTCATCATTCAACAGGAATTCCGGAGGGATTTTTGTGTGACACAGAGTTTGGCTAACAGAAACTTGATGCGTCTGGGTAGTTTGCTGACTTTGAGCTAACGAATTTTACACTAAATTAAACCATTCATATTTCATGCTATAACATGGGCTACGTAATCTATATGATAATTTCAGTTGAAATTCACATATTTAATGTTTTATTGTTTGTTTTCCCATTTTAAATGAATTTTAGAAAATTAAATGTACTGTTTTAGAAGAACTTTAACTAATTTAAGTATATAAGATTCGGTCTCCAAAAATTAAACAGTTGTATTTGCATTGCACGTGAAATCTGTATTATTTTTTTATGTAAAGGAATGTCAACTTCTTGGGATTTTTTAATGACAAGTCAATGTTTCAAAAATCTTGATTTTTAACTTTTTTTAGAAGTTCTGTGTTAAGTGATTAAATTATGTTGATCATAGAAATCACATGTATTTATAAAGAAACTAATGCTACAGTGGACAAGTTGATTAGTTTAAATTTGGGTTTCTCTTTTGGTGGGATTAACCGTCTTCTCAAATTGCTACGTTACTCATAATAAATTTATTGGGGTTTTCAACCTATCATTACTCTCAATTCGATTTACTTTTTATATTTTTCCTATCTTTGTACTGTTGTTTTGAGCGGATCTTGTTCCTTTAATTATGTAACTTTTTTCCTTCTTTGTTTTTCTTTATTAATCTTCCTTGATTGGAGGTTGATTAATTAAAAAAAAAAAACCTAATATTGTGGACTAAAATTGAAAAATAATGGCATCTCTTTATCATTTTACAAAGTGATTAGTACGAGTGTTGACACAAATGATTGATATACTTATAAAAAAGATGATGAATTAAAATCCTATGATATATTAAATATATGGGTTGAATGTGTATTAAATTATAATACTAAGTTGTTAAGAGAATTTAAGAGACATAATATTTGATCCAAAGGTGTATCCCTTTATTTATTTAAATGAAAGTATACATCTTAATTAAAGGGTCTATTTAATGAATGTGACTTTATGAAGATATGTAATTAAAATATATAACCTATCTGAAGAGGTACAATGACTTATAATGAAGAGTTATGTAAGACGGTATAAATAAAAAACTAGAATTCTAATTCCTACACAACTTTAAACCTCTCTCATTCAAATTACGATCGTCGCAAATTCTCTTGCACACAACTCTTGTATTTTTCTCCTAAATTCATACCGTTTCCAATCAAAGTGTTTTAGGGGAATAATTCAATATATTCTGATTTCATTAACATAATATACATACTTCGATTTTATTTTATTTTTTAAATTAATCATCACGGTGATTGGTTGTTTTAAATAAATAAAAAATTATCAATATAATTGAACATAAATGAATATATACACAATGATATGATATCTGCTACCTCAAGCCTGCTAGTGGGTTTGCTGACCTAACCATCTCGGCTTGCTAGCCTGATGAGATGAACCCACCAGGCCCATAAACTTCAAAATTGTCCCAAAAAAATCAAAACTAAAGCCAATACAAGAGATGGGCTGACAGGCCGAACTTTTCCAAGCCCGCCCAGCTACATATGGAAAGTGGCTTTATGGGAAACTCTTGAGCCTATATTTTATTTGTCTATATAATCTCATTTCTGTAATCCTCACATGATTGATATCATGAAATTAATCAATATTTATGTTTGGATATTAATTTTATGTCACGTCTGTTTTAAAAAATGAGAAAAATAAATCAAATCCTATATGTTTAATTTCCTTGCATGTCACCTGTTTAGTTGGGTTTATTTATTGGTCGAATGAGCTTATTTAAAATTATAAACACTTTTGAAATTTTTTTTAGATTGTTTAGAAGGTGTTTTTCTAAGCTTATAAGCTGGTTTTCTAAGCTTATAAGCTGGGCAAACTAGTTTATAAGCTCTAAAATTAAGTTGACATATTTGTTTATAACTTTTTTAAGCTTATAAGCCAAAATAAATAAGTTGGGAGGAAGGTGCTTTTTTTTTTTCTCTTATAAGCACTCAGCTTATAAGCTAGTTTGACCAAATATACATTATCCTTGTTTAATTTTAAAATTTCATAGTATACCCTTGTTTAATACAGTATCATTTTTAGTTATTTTATAATAAAATGTACTTATAAACCACATTTTACCAAACACGTTAATTACTTATCAATCACTTATAAGTATTTTAAAATTTCAAATGCTTATAAGCTAAAATAACTTATATAAGCTAATTTTCATAAGCTTAGATAAATACCTCTTTAATTGTATTTCATAAGCTTTTACAAGATCTAAAATAAGCTATCTTACAGTTTATGGATAAGTATTGAAATTTTAAAAATATCTTTATTCTATTGTATATATTTGACTTGAATAAGTTCTATTCTGATAAACTTTTTTTCTATAAGCTCTACTCAAATAAGCTATGCCAAATGGAAATTTTTGTTTTATATATATATAAAGTTTGTCTAACAAAAAAGGCCGCCACGAAATCATAGACGCGATTATTCGAAGCAAGTTGCTTCCATATACTGTATTTATACAGGAGAAAGAGTAAAGTGTGAATGAAGTTTATGAATTATTGCTAACTGAGATGAAATATTAAGCAGAGTACATTGCATTAACAGACGTAAACCATTCATTTTCACATTTTTATATGATATTGTTTTTTCAAGACTTGAAATTGCGACAACAAATCTTTAGAAACATTTAAGTTATTAAGAGATCTCCAATTAATGATTATTTCTTGGGTAATTAATTAGTTGCTTTTCCGCTAATCAAGCTAGCTACCTACTTGATTTTGAGCCGTCTTCAATATCCTTTTGAATTTTAGGTAATATTTTGCATAACTAATATGCTAGTAACGCAGTATCATTTTGTTAATTAACAAATCATTTAATATTAATTCTAATGCATCTTATCCTCGTCTATATACTGTTTCTACAAATTCGTTATTGGGAGTTGGGATGTTTTTCCTTCGTTTCTACTTAATAAATATGATTTGACTAAAGCTTTTGCCTTAATTTTATACTTTTAGTTGCAATATACGAAAATTCGGATACTTCGAAGGATTTGCTTTTTTGTTTTGCTCAAATTTTGACAAAATCCCATAAAACCATATTGCATAGAGCCTCGTAATTTGCGCTTACACAAGCAATTCGAAAACGAAATTCAAGCACCAATTACGATAATGGTTTATAGCTTTCACGTGCCTCACATTTTCTTGAATTCTTGGCCCATATCATTTTATTAGACATTTCTTTTAACAAGTCTTTTTCACATTTGTATAAAATTGATCGAAAATGTATTTATTTTAATGTGTTTTTGTCTGTTTGTAATCTCAACATGTGTTTTTCAAATATGTTGACAAAACTTATTATGTATTTGTCTTATAAATTTATATTACATTTATAACTATCAAATGAGTTATTAAATAAATAGATGTCTCAATGGTTTATAAATATACGTTCCAATATCAATCTCTCATAAAGGATCAAAACTCTCATTGCTTTTCCTATCCAAACCGAATTCAATTGTATTTGGTAAAGAAAAAGTCATATTAAACATAAAGAAAACAAAAAGAATAACGAGCTTAGTCCTAAAGCATAGGAAGAAAGTAAGAAAATCCCAAGAAGAGATGATGTGAAATGAAAGCAACAAATTGCAAAAAGCAAGCAAAATTGATTGCGCGCCGGTTTCTTTGCGCAATACAAGGGCCCAAAAAAAGCGCCATTCACGCCTCCACTTTTTAACTACAAAAAAAAAAAATTGTCTAAATAATTTGGCAGATTTCAACTCAACTCATTACCAATTGATTTAGCGGTTTTTTCGGTTGGAATTTCTTCCACTAAACAAGCAATCTAATTTGCCCATTAACGAGGCATGAAACAAGCATTTTAGGGAACAACATCAAAGTTTTG